AATCAATGCCTCACTTTAGCTAAAACCTCTTGAAGTGTATTGGCTTCAACTTGTCTTTGTCGTTTGACTCATTTTCATTCTTGTTAGGTTAAACTTGGCGAAGTTGGATACAAAGAAAGATATTATGCTGAAAAGTTTGATGCATCAACTCCGGAGGAGCTAGACAAAGTGCGAAAAGACGTAGTAAGTTCCTCTCCAAATTTGATTTGACCTTTAGCTTTTCTTTGATTACTCAATATCATTGCTGTATCTGCTATATTTGTCTGGATTGAGATAGTGTATTATGCTTTCTAGACTTCAAAGTCTTTTATCATCCTTCTAATGGTTCTCTTTTTCTGATTTTGTCTTTGGTCTGTATGCTTGGCAGGTTCTGAAATATGTTGAAGGGTTATGTTGGGTATGCCGGTACTACTACCAAGGTGTTTGCTCATGGCAATGGTCAGTATTGTGACTGAATTAAACTACTTTATGCTTCTTCTAAACGCTTTCTTAAACCAACTTGGGTTTTTATTGAATTGCAAGCATTAGCATGCACAAGTGTTGCGCTTGTTAAGTCCAAAGAAATTGTAAGATAGAAAAGTCAGAATATGTTTATGCATATTCATTATTCAATGTGTATGGTAAACCAGAAGATATTTCTTCACGAACCATATGTTCTCTCTCCTAGCCACCATCCTTTTTGCAGCTTACTTGCCCTTTGAACTGTTTAAAGCGTGGATGCTTATCATTTTGTCAGCTTAAGCAACACTTCAGCCTGCAAGATACATAATTATCTGGTGGTTATGACAGGTTTTATCCATACCATTATGCGCCATTTGCCTCAGACCTTACGGATCTTACCGATTTGGAGATAACTTTCTTTTTAGGCGAGCCATTTAGGCCCTTTGATCAGCTCATGGGAACCCTGCCAGCTGCAAGGTTTTTCTCCTTCTCCTGTGGGTAAATGGTCTTTCCTTGTGCTTTCATTCCAGAGCTGATGCTGGACTTGCGTTTGCTGCAGTTCTAATGCTTTGCCCGAAGAATACCGAAAACTGATGACAGACCCCTCATCACCATTGCAAGCGTTCTTCCCTTCTGGTAACTTTAACTTGATGGGATGGCCATGTCTATGTTTATTGTTTTTATCATTGTTTTCATGTTCCTGTGGTACCAACTCTGTTGTTTCTCCCTGTGGACAGATTTTGACATTGATATGAATGGTAAACGCTTTGCCTGGCAGGTGAATTGTTATCTTTTATTGTCAATCCGACTTTTGAAATTTGTCAGTGATTGGTATTGAACAGTTGAACTTGTCCTTATATTTCCTGTTGTGTTACAGGGTGTTGCTAAATTGCCATTCATTGACGAGAGGAAATTATTATCACAAACAAAGAAGCTCGAGAGTACTTTAACAGTATGCATCTTATTTGTTTTTTCTTTTGACTATTTCCATTGATATAAGTATTTGTAGTACCGTTGGATTATGGATGGACTGTCTGTTATGTTGCTTTACATCACTGATGATTTTTGAGATGAGGATTCTGCTGTGCAGATGTGGAGAATGCCAGCATTTTAGTATTTGAATGATAATTTGAGGTCCTTCATATATAGGACTTGTGGAAATGATAGGACTGACCAGAGTTGGTTGTGTGATAACCTTGAATCTTCTAAATATGCTGCCTTCGGTTTTGGTTGTTTCTGTTTCGGTGTTTCTGAGACCTTAGGAGCTAAACTACCATTGGAGAAGGAGAAGAAGTAGGGTGTAGTTAGGAATTCTAAAAAGTGGAGTTGATGGGATGGTGTAGATCTATTAGTATATAGCCTAACTTTGAACATAGTTTATCTTTTTTCAGACTGGAAGCTGGAATTTGTTTCTGATTATCAGGGGAATTTTTGTATGGAGTCGTGGGGCCTATCATGAATGTGCTCTTTGAATTTTTATATTCCACATAAATATTAAGATTAAACAAATATAATGTTGGTTTTCTAAACCATCCTGATGGTCTCGGGTTTGATATTTGATGCTCTCTGCAATAGCAAGTCATGACTGTCTTGACAAAGAGTGATAATTAATATATTTGGCATATGTAGGAGGAGGAGCGTGTTCGCAATAGTGTGATGCTTGATCTGCTTTATGTCCATCCTGTTCATCCTTTAGCTCAGCAAATTGTCTCCTACTACCATCATAACTATCAGTTACCACCTTATGCAAGATTTCTTTGGGCAATCGACCCAAATGCTAGGTTTGTTCGTAGAATCGATTAATTTTGTAATTTTTCATTGCCTTCCTAAATGATGTGCTTGCTGTAACGTTTTACTGGGTTTTGCAGCGGTGGGATGAATGGATATATTGGGTTGAGCGAAAGAAATGTCCACAGAACCTTTGTTCCATCCCCAGTTAATGGATTGCCACATATAGAGGATAACCAAGTTTTGTAAGTTTAGCTTCCTGGTCTTTCTTTATGAAACTACTATATGAATTCTATGTCATTGTTAGTATCTTCTTTGCAGAAATATCACATATCTTTCTCCTGTAAGCCATAGACACATCCCAGAACCTCCAGATGGTGTAAAATTTCCTGCAAAGGTTTGTAAGATCTTGATGCTTGTAATTGTTATTTTATCTATATTTAGGAGAAGGATGTATACATCTAGTTTTCCTGCATATCTCAAACTTGTATGTGAAGGTCCAACATCACTTCTCCTATTAAGGTTTGACATTTGGTGACTCGGGCATTTATAATGTGCTCTACTTGAACTTGATTGGAAATGCTCCTTGCGCTCTCTCCAAGTTCAAATTCTTTTTTCACTGTATGATACCTGTTTGAGTTTGGGGAATAGATAATGGGATTTAGAAATGGGGCTGGATTTATGTGGCATAGCTATTGTTGGATTCTGGGCTCCCCGTATGATGTCTTGTCACTGTATGTTGCTTCGCTAATTGTTTTGCTCCAATCTTCTGTGATGTAACTGCAGATCGTAAAGGGCTACGATATCAAACCATTCCCCATACTATGGCATGAAGACAACAGTGGGCGGCGTCAACAAGGCAGAGACAGGCAATGGATCTTGAATGCTTGCTCAAATACATCAGTCGATCCCTCCAATAGATCAAATAACCAACTTCTAATCAAATACATCATTTCAACTTCTAACTTGTACCTTCAAAATCTAGAATTTAAAGTGATGTGGACCCACTTTACTTTGTTATTAAGCTTTCCAGTTTTATCCCTTTCTCTTTCAGTAAAACTCCAAAAGTTGTGGGATTATTGTAGTCATTAGCTAAAAGCAATGCTTAATTTTTTTGTGTGCAGGCATCAATTACCTGGGGCGATTGCCGGTCCACAATTGGGAGAAGCAGCTCATCGTCTAATTAAGAACACTCTTAGCATCAGGTCAAACAATGGAGGATTGCTCGATCAGCCTCCATATACTAACCGTGCTGGTAACAATCATATCTCCAACAGAAGCAAAATGCCTGCTCCTCATGATGGAAGAGGCGGCTATGGTGATGATCAAAACTACCGTTATGGACACAACAACAACTACTACCAACAGGGTGGGCCTCGATATCCAAACCCAATGAATGGCGCCCAAGGACCTCGGCACAACTTTAGACCACCAGAGAGGATACCGCAGAACTACGAAAAACCCCGTGACCTGAGGATGGGAATGTCCACTTTGACACTAGATGAAGAGACCACCCGAGTCAGGCCACCTGCAGTGCTGTTACAGCGGAGGCCGAATTCAGGATTTCTGAAGAACTCAAACCACCAGTATGAGCAGACCGCCGCGGGTCCCATTCCTTCGCCACCTACCAAGTGGATCAATACCATACCGGATGGAGTGGCGGGCACTTATTTTAGACAAGAAACAGCCACAAAAAGTGTGAATGAGAAGCAGCAGGTGAAACAGGTTTATCTTATCAAGAACCGGGCAGCTCCGGAAGCTTCAAATGCCGTAGCTGATCCAAGCCACCAGTAGCATTGCATAGCGGGATGTGTAACTGTTAACATGTTCTCTCTCGTCCAGGGTGTTGTAACATCTCCACCTAAGTCAGCCATTGGATGTTTCGGTCAATTTGTGAGGATGGCATATACCTTAAAGATGCAGGAGCTGTTAGGGAAAAAGTGTATACAAGTAGAGTTGTTGTAATGCCTGGGTTATTTGTTAGGTCTCTTGATAGGTAGAAAATGTGGATTCTTCCTTGTGGAGTTCTATACAGGAGAAGAGTCAGTTAGTTGCGCATGTTTCAGGGTAGGTGTAATTATTTTCTTAGTATCCTTGTAATTGGTGTTTATTTATGCTTATATCATTTGTGGCAATGTCTCTGTTTTCGTTATTCAAAGACAAACAACTTCTATAAAGATTATCATTTCCATTTCAAAAAGAAAAGAAAAGGATCATTATTTCTCGGGGGAACTTTTGAGCTGTATGACTACTGTGAACGTGATAAGTTCTGCAGTTGGCATGGGGTAAGGCTGTTGGTGACCTGGGGAGGATTCCTGATGGCGCACAGGGGAGGTGACAGGTGAGAGAAATAACTCATGCTCTTGCTATTCTTGGTATGTATCAAGCTGGAACAAGATGGTTTGGTTTGCTCCCCATTTTTTTTGCAGAAGACTAACCATCCTGATCCTCCTAGAGCTGGTTGCTAGGGGTAAAAGAGACTCTCATGCTTGCTAGCTGATTGGCACTGCAAGATCTTGAGGAGATTCAACTCTAGAGCTGATTGGGTGGTAAAGTTCAGTACTCTCAAGGTTCTTTGCCCAAGGAGAGGATTGCCATTCTGGTATGTTAATTGTTATCTCTCTGACTCTGTCCTCCCTTGGACAAAAAAAGAAGCTAGCTGGAAGAATCCTGTGACAGTAGTACGTACTTCAAACCGTGTAGTCTATACAATGCTCATAGGAACACACATATAATAGAAGCACACAGGGAGTTGTTATGAATGAGAAGGAGAAGCTAGAAAAAGAACCAGTTGGGAGACACCACCACTAATATATATATATATATAACGATCATTGCAGGAAGTAGCCGCCCAAAAAGAGACCGAAGAAGAGCAGCAGGCTCCCGTATATCAAAATGGCCTTCTGCCCAGAAGTGAGGGCGTTCCCTCCCAGCCCGTACTGCTGGTTCTGGGCGAACCCAGCGATCTCCACGCTCTTGCTCTGGAAGAAGCTCCGAGCAGCTCCGCAGGTCGGGCACCTCCAGTCCCCAGGGAGCTGCTCGAATGGCAAGCCCGGTGGAACCGGGTACGAGGGGTCACCGACGGCCTCATCGAATGTGTACCCGCACGACCTGCACTCGTAGATCCCCGTGTTCAGCACTGCAAACTTCTCCTCCAGCCTCCGCTTGTCGAATTGCTGCTCGATTTCAGTTTCTGAGGGAGCGGATGATAGCTCTGCCGCCGGCTCGCTGGTGGGTTCGGAAGTTGGCGGCTTGTCCTCCTTGGAGACATCAATGGAGGAAACGGCGACAAGGGAAGGCCTGTGGGGTTTGTGGAGGGAAATGGAGGGTGGCGTTAGTTTGTGGAAGTGGCATTTGGTTGTGGGTTTTGAGTGATAATGGGATGCTGTTGTGAGGTGGAAGGTGAAGGTGGGTCTTGTGGCTGCGGACGCCATGGAACTGGAGAAATTGAAGTTGTATGCCTGTTGCTTTTTCAGTGGAGGTTTTTGGCTATGGCGCGAGGGTTGGGGATGGTGGTGAGTTTCTGGGTGGTGGAGAATTGAAAAGGATCCATTGTAGAGGTCAGGGGAGCCTATGCTGCTTGTTTGGGAAGGGAGGCGGATAAGGTGGGGAAGTACGCTCAGATCAGAAGGATTGGAACAAAACATAGTGATGGGCTTGTTGGGCTGGGCTTCTTGGTTGTGGCTGGACCCAACAAGAAATTGGCGACGGGTGTGTATGCAATTATTTGCTTATCAAACTGAAGGTTAGGGGCAAATTTGGTGGATTAGACTCAGAGTAAGAGGTTTCTGAATTCTTGTTGCTCTTATGTTTGGCAGGTAAACTTTCCCTTCGTCGTGATGATGTTGACTGCGCCAGTACTTCTGTACCAAACAAGGCGAAATCTGGCAGGTTATATGAGCAAATGCAAAACTGGGTTTGGTTAAAAGAACTTTCGGGTCGTTTGCTTTATGGATTTGAAAAATGAAGGTTTTGATAAAATTTGGGTTTTGAAAAACCATGGATATATGATGGATTTGGTGGCATTATGGATTTGAACAAGTCTATTGTTTGCTTGATGGATTTGATTATGGACTTTGTTTGATTAGATTTGTGGATATTAAATACAAATTACCTAGTTACCCTTATTTAATTATATTTCTATATTATAATCCAAATCTTTCATTTAAAACTAATCCAAAACATAGAAAGAAATTATAAACTCTTTACCACTATGTGGATTAATAATTCAACTACAAATATAGAAATGTATTACAATTTGGCACTAATTAACAATTCATCTTGGCACTAATTAAAAATTCATCTAATAATCCTTCATAAAAAAAACAATTCATCTAATAATGTACGCAATATTATGTATCAATTGCAGCCAATTGCTCGCTTTATTGCTACAACTCATCATCTTCTTGCTAACTCACCGATGTGGAATCCGACAATCAATCAAATAATAATGTACAAGATGAGCATAAAGTGTTTCTAGGTGAATCTAACAAGTCACATATACATTCATATTTAAATAAAATACGATATTACAAAATGAAATGATAAATTCTCAATTTTATAAAATACGAAATTATAAAAGTTTACAGTTGCATGACCATTGAATTAAAGTAGGACAAATTTGTAATTAAAGAAATAATTAAGGGTAGAAAGGTAATTTACCATCATGGATTTTAATCCATCACCCAAATCCCACCTCAAGAGGTGGAACTTTCAAGTCCGTGGGGTCCACGGATTTGGAACCCCAAAAGTGGTGGGCCCCACAAATTCCATCTCCCTAATTCCCTAAGGCAAACGATGGATTTCGGTTCAAGTCCATGACGGATATATTTCAATGACCAAATCCATCACCAAAACCCTCAAGCAAACGACATTTTCACCACTGGATTCAATTGGCAAGACGAGGGCAAGACACCGTTCGGGCTGAAGATTGGCTAGGCAGTTATTAGGTTAATTGTCAACCTAATCGCTAATATGTTTTAAGGGGTAAATCTTTATTCGCTAAAGATGTGGTAGGTTGGCTGACAATAGAGGGTTTTAGCTCAGTGAATAGCCAATAACTGAAAGTCAGTTAGCGGTTAATCGATAATCGATTCAACTATTAGCTAACATATAATTTTAGGCATTCTAATTTGATTTGAATTATGAATTCATGGTTGATGACGGATTAGAACCATTAATGCTAGTATGTTTTTTATGGGATAATATTTTATCTCCAACTCGGGTTGGAGGAACGGGCTGCAACCACTAATGTGCCTGATAGGGATTGGACCAAATTTCATTAATATGCTTTCCTTTTCTAACTTGTAGACGGAGAGAGCAAATGACAATTCTTTTTTTTATACAACATATTTTTTCTTAGTGAGAAAATGTAACACCCCAATCCAGATTAACATTGTGTTTCCCTAATTACCCTTCTCCAACCATATAATTGAGGTGATCTAAGTTACATGCACCTGTCAAATCACTCACCCCACTTTTCCACATATCTCCCATGACCACCAACACCATTACTTCACATCACGTTAGCTTTGCAGAACCCCATCATCACTTATGTTAAAGATATAATTTTCTATGCTCCATTCATTTCAAGACAACAGGCAGCCCTTCCATTCACAAGTTTTAAAGGCCATGAAATATGTAGTCTTCACTTGTCCCTGATCTATCGCCCCTCTCCATCACTACTGCTTCTCCAAGAACGCCAGCACTCATCCCTCATTGCCATTAAATTTGTCCATCCTTTCCTTGCCACATGAAGTTTCCTCATCATCGTCGATCGGATAGCTACCACGACACTAGCAATTGTTTCCATCGAGAGTCTCTTCCTCTGTCTCTCGAACCATAGCATTGACGGGGAGGATGCGGGTCATCGAATGTCGACCCAAACAAGGAACAAGGGCCATACATCTTTGTATCGATGTATAGGCACGAATACAAGGTAAGGAAACTCGACCCATCGCGTTTAAATCGGCATTTGGACTACTAAATAGGAGTTTATAGTTTTCTGGGAAATTAGCGACGGAAATTACAGGCTTTTAGCAACAAAAAAAGCCGCCGTGGCTATAGTCTGGCCAACCAGTGTCAGTGGCATTCCTTTTAGAGACGAGATGTCATAGTTTTAGTGACTGTTCCGGCGACTGTCACTAAAGGAGCTGTATCTTTTGCATATTAAGTCTCTAGGTGAATTATGTAAAGTTATTTGAATTAATGTGCAATTGAGTTAATAGACATGCATGGATTAGGATGTTAATAAGTTAGTAGTTGATAAAATGGTTTAGTTTGAGTTAATTAAGTATTTTATCCAATAATATAAAGACTATAATATGATAAGAGGTTTGTAAGCAACTTAATGGATTAAGATGATTTAAGTATTAGTTAGAAAATATTAGTTTAATCAGTATGATATTTGATATGATTAGTAAGTAAAATTTATCATTGGCAGTTAATGGGTAAATCTACTAGTTTATTTAGTATGGTAATATATGTTATAATATGCTAGTTAAAAGTGATTTTAGCATGATTAGTTCCAAGTATTTAAATTGGCATAGATTTAAGGAGCGGAGGTTTTATATGACAAATTGTTTAATATGTCAATTAATCGTACTTTGCAATTATTGCGAAGTAGTTCCAAGTCGAGAGAACCGTAGCTAAGAACCCGAAACCCAATCGATCTAACCTCGACTTTCGTCATAGGTTCGCCAAGGCATTTCACCCATGAAGAGCACCGATTTCTTGAGTTGGTGGCTAAATCCGACTTAAGCTAATAAGGTGCGTGGTTTGAGGGGGCATTAGTTAGTATTCCATTCTGAGTTATTTACACTGCATGTTGCTTGAATTAATTGATATGTCTTTAAATGCTATTTATGCTTGAGCTATGTGTTCATGAGATCCATTTCCAAGTTTATGAATTATGTTCATTTCTTAAGCATGGCATGGCATGGCATTGCATCGCAAAGTTATGTTTTAAGACAAGACGATACAAGTTATGTTTTAAGTATGCATACCATGATCATGTTTCATGGATACATATGTTTTAAGCAAGTCAAGTTACTTTTAAAAGAAGTACGATTTTATAAGTTAAGCAAGTCATAAGATTAGATCTCCCATTGAGCGGAGGATGATCATCATGTCAAGCAAGTAGGTTCAGTAAGTAAGCAAGATCATGTTTTAACCCTCACTTAGCTAGCCGCACACGGTCACCTCATGTTATGATTAAGGAGGTTACGAACCCTACTCCTGGGTAAAAAGGAGGTTACGAACCCCACTCCTGGGTAATAAGGAGGTCACGAACCCTACTCCTGGGTAATAAGATCATGTTCAAGTATGTCGGTGATCGTGGTGGCGTGCTAGTTAAGTTGAGCTCGGGGCCCCTTTTCGTAAAGAATGTCTATTTCAAGAAAATCATTTACAAGTCCGGTAAATATTTATGCATGAGCATTTGCACTCATTATGTATGTTGGTTCATTTTATATATATGATGTCAAGAATGAAATATAGGATTAGGACTGACCCCAACGCCCGCATTCAGGAATGGTATAAGTACATAAGCACGCATATGGATTCAGCATCATTGGCTCAAGTGCACTCCAGAAGGAAGAGGTTAATTTCATTACTTTAGTGGGACGAGAGACTTGATGTGATTTTACGATGAAGATTTATTAAGACAAATATCTCAAGGTTGTTCATGTTTTAAGTATTGTTAAATGTACGAGGTTTCCGCTGTTGTTCAAAGCATTTTAATATTCGTTACTTTTCAAGGGTATTTTGGTAAAAGTAGCACCCTATCGGGTTAGGGTGTTACAGAAAACCCAAACAAATAATACACAAGAATAAAATAAATTATGAGTTTTTTTTATAGTGAACTGGCGCTATTATAAATTAACTAAAAATATTTAAGATACTATATCTTAATTTTTTAAGGTTTGGGTTTTCATACAAAATCTCGGCCTGCAAAACTATGCAAAATCGTGATTGTATCATCGTATTATGACAAATTTGTCATATTGCATCGTTTATGACAAAAATAACAATTTTAGGATAGTTTGGACTTCCTAGTGGAATTAACCCTTATTTTAATTCCTTTTAGTGCATTGTTATAGGTAAGAACTATCAAACTTAATAGGTTGTTCGTTGTTGCCCATGCAAAGAGCTAGCATAGACAATTGCTTCGGTATCACCCTTCATCATGAAGAAAATTTGGTTCATTGGTTAGTAATGACATGTGAATGGCTCTATTCTAAACCCCCCGTATTTTGACCAAAAGTGCTTACTTTTTCCATCATTATCGTCATAATGCATTGGATTATTGTTGTGATTGCTTCAAGTGCGTCCTAGAAATTCTAGGATTTTTTTATACAATTGATGCGCTTTTGGGTAGCGTTCTATGCATTTTCAAGGCTGAGCAGCCTATTGGGCCGCTTGTAAGCCGTAGGGG